GAATGGACAGGGGGCTAGAGGAAATGGTAACAAGGGCCCACCCTCACTGTCCACTCCTTGGCCCCTGGCCCTCGGATTAATTAAGCCAGCACCCACATACATGGATGAGAGTAGGTTTAGCTGAGGTCCCCTGGCCCCAGAGGTAGAAAGAGGTGGCCTGAGCTTAGCACCAGGGTCAGGAGAGAGAGCGTCTGCTGGGTCGGGAGAGAGTGTCTGCTGAGGCCTGCACCCAGACCACCCATCCTGGCATGCTGGTACACTTGGGGAGATGGCAGAGCACATAATGTGGTCGCCAACTGCTACACCTTTGGCTTCCCAGGTCTGTCCACAGCAGCTCCTGGGAGGACTGCTCCGACAGCAGCATCCAGGGCCTGGGCAGATGCCCAAGCAGCACCCAACAGACCCAATGGCTTTGAACCTGTGACCTTTACATTCCTGGCTTCCTCTCTGCCTGGCACTTGGAAAACAGGCTGAGTCTTCTGTCCGGGGGATCTTGGCAATTCAGGGGTGGGAGGAGAGGAGAGGCCTATGGATGACGATCCTGAACTTGCTTTAATAGGAATGGGCACTTGAGCCATTAATTGAAAAGCAAAAGAGGTCAGGCTGTGCTGTACTCCAACTTGGAGCACTGGATCATGGCAGTTATAAGAGTTGAGGGCAGGGAGGCAGGCCAGGGAAGGAGCCATCTCTGAGGCTGGCTTTATTATTAGAGGCGGCATGGGGTGGGAAGAGGCGATGCCCACCCAAAGGTCACATGAAGCCTGGCACTTCCTTCAGCCTGAGGGCCTGGCAGTGCTGGGGACAAAGGTCTGCAGCTCAGGGAAGGCTTCTCAACCGGTCCCAGTGCAGTGGTGGTCACAGCTGACTCTGAAAAGACAAAGGCAGGATTTGGGCTGTGAAGGGTGCAGAGGTGGGAATTTTGGTTTCATTCCTGATTCATCCTACCTTTCTCTGGAATATCTCTGCAGCCTCCCTTTGGCCACACGTGCCTCTCCAGGCAACCTGACCATCATTTAAAAACACAGGATGGGTGACCAACTCCTTGGCTGATGAATGGAAGACCCCAAAACTCTTCCCCACCCAATCTCAAGTTCTTCCTTACTTCTGCACAACCATCCCTGGCCACCGCCCTTGCCCGCCCCTCCCAGATGTACCTGTCGTTACAGTCCATCTTCACTGACTTGCCTGGGATGGGGGAAGAAAAAAGAGATAGGTAAGAAGTCAGTAGGAGAGGTGGTAAATCTGGGGTCCCTGAAGTTGGGAACCCCTCCTCACAGGCCCCAGTGACCAAAACCCTCGGCCTGCCCCTCTGTCCCCTTGTCCCCACACCCCAATCAGTTACCGTAGACAGGCACTTACCGATGCTTCTTCTTGCCCCCGCAGCGGAGTCTTTTGCCTTGAAGAGAGAAAGGAGGTTAGTTTTCTTTGGCCTCTCACTTCCAAGGAGACCCTCTATGCCCTGGAGGACTCAGCTCTGTATTCTCTCCTCTCTCCCTCCTGCCAGTACCACACGGAGGTCCCAGAGTGTGGCTTGGAGGCCACGGTTGACTGCGTTCTTCTTTATATAAGTTTGAGCCATAAGCATTCAGGAGCCCAAGTCCATTAGTCAGTTGGTCAATAAACACTTACTACAGCAGGTCCTCAGGGGACTGTGAGCACATTGAGAGCGGTGGCCAAGCCTGGGCCATCGTGATGCCCCCAGCACAGTGCTGGGCACGTAGTAGCTACTCAATAAGCTCTTGGAGAAGGATGTCAGTAATTCCAGAGCCAAGATCCCTGCTCAGGCCCACCTGCCTCCAAACGTGTGTGCTCGACCACTCCACGGTGCTGCCCTCAAGGAGCTTCCAGGAGAATGGGGGGACCAACCATGTCTGCAGACAGAACTTTCAGATGGAATGGCACTGACCATGGATGTGTTAGAATCCCAGAACACAGAAGTGTATTTGCTTCATTTCATGTTCTCTTTTCACTCATTGTATTTCTGGGTTTTTTTTTTTTTTTTCCTTCTGGTTGCACCAAGACTAGTCAATAAGCATTTATTAAGCCCCTGCTGTATGCCTGCTGCTGGGGGATATACAAGGATCCTTCTGTTCTCCAGAACACGCTGTGTGTATATTGGATCCTTCCAAGTGCTTTCTTGGCTGCCATCTCTTTGGATGGTAGTCTTAACCTTATGAGGCAAGTGGAATCATCCCTATTTAACAGTTGAGCAAACCGAGGCCCAGGTCATTGGGCATCCACACTAAACTAGCAGCAGGGCCTATGACCTCTGGCTCTCAGCCATATTTGCTTTACAGCAGCCTATAGGTAGTGAGGTGCAGGGTGGACCTCTCTGGGTTCAGCTGAACTGACTCTGCTTCTGATTGGCCGTGGAATCTTGGGCAAATTGCTGTACCTCTCAGGGTGGGTCTGATTTTTCATCTGAAAAATGGTGACAGTCATGGAGAACCCTCAGGGTTGCTGAGAGGATTAAATGGGTTGAGATGTAAGCTCAAGCCAAAAAAAAAGTGTTCAGATCTGAGGAAGTGAGGTGTCCAGTAAAGGTTAGTTTCCTCCCCTTACCTGAAACCTCCCCCCATTTACACTGGAGCTTTCCAGGGTCAGAGGCAGCCAGCTTGCCAAACCGCCCCCCCCCTCCGCCCCCCCCTCCCCGATCTTGGTAGCTCTTCCAGGATCCACAGGAAGGCACGCTTGAGAAAGAGGTGACTTCCTCTGTGTTGACCAAGGACGAAGTCAGCAGACACCCCAAGACATCTCTCTCCATCAGGGTGTCTCTCAGTTCCCATATCCAGCATGGAGAAGGAGAGAGGAGCAGAGAGACTCACTCCTCCCTTACGGGATCTGGAGGCGGGTGAGAGGGCTCTTCCCCACACCCGCCTGGGAAGCTAGGTGTGCTCAATGGTTTTAAGAAGATATGTGCGCCCATCTAGCACCCTCTTCCAGCACGAGGCCGGCCCCACTTACTGAGGATTATGATGAGCCCCACAACGAAGGCCAGGGCAGCGAAGATCAGTCCCCCATTGCGTACAGTCTCATAGTCTGAGGAAAGAAAAGGTAAGGAGGCGGGATAGGTAATCCAGGCACTCCTCCCTGTAGCCCACGCTGACAGCAGCCCCACGGTAACTGGGGAAGATGCAGGCACATAACCCAGGGCTGGAAGAGGCTGAAAACCAATTTGGGGGGCACAGGGGTGGAGGCTCAGGAAAGGTGGGACGAAGGAATCACCAGCCTTACCATAGGAGAATGGGTCCACATCCCCCTTGGGGCTGCCACCTGAAGAGAGAGGCAGAGACGAGGTAAGGGGAAAATCACAGATGGTGGGATGTTCCAGCCACAGAAACAGTAGACTGTCCTTGTCCTAGCATCCCCCAGGGTCCAAGTGGGCAAGGGGAGGCTGATGAGGAGAGACCCCTGGAAGAGGAGGCTGGTGGGTCTGCAAATGCCACTGCCGTTGGGAGCATCTGCCCTCGGCTATTCCAGACAGAGCCAAGTTGGGACCAACTACCAATCCAAAGCAGGAAGCCATGCTGCTTGTGGGGCCTCCGGGGCCTCCAGGGGTTGGTTCTTTCCTCTCTTTGCATTACACGAAAGTAAGAAAAAAAAACAAGAAAGACATTTGCCATTAGACTTACCAGCAGCCTCTCCCCATATGACTTATCAACTACAAGTGGCTTAGCAAATATTTGTGAGACGAATGAATGAATGAATAGAAGGAGGAAACTGAGGCCCACTTTGGAGATTTGTCCAAAGTCCTAAGAAAGTTGGAGGCAGAACTGGATCTTGAACCAGGTTTCTAGATTCTTCTCTCCTATGTTTCTATCCTCTGGGAGAAGCAGATTTATTTAAGAAACATTAATATATAGTGCTTACCACATGCCAGACTAAGGCTAACAAAGCATTAGCTTATACAACCCTCATAACAACTCTATGAGGCACTAATAGTATTCCACTATAATCCATGAGAAGATGGAGACATGGAGAGATTAAGTAACTCATCCACGGTTGTACAACCAGTAAAGGGTAGAGCTGGAATTTGAATCCAGGCAAGGGGTTGCTAGGAATCTAGGTACTTAGTCCCTTTGCTAGGTTACCCCTCAGTTGGTCAGAAGGAAGGAGGTGTTTCAAGGCCAGGTCATCTGGTGCATTTCCCACCCTGTGGCTTTTCCCACCTTGATGTGGAGCTGCTCAACTGCCAGCAGATGCCATAGCTCTGCCCTTCAGCGCTGTAAACTGGGCACATTTGCCCCTGTGCAGCTAGAGGGCAGGCTGGCCAGAGCTTTTCTGCCACGGCTGAGGCTAGGTCCTCTTTCTTGCCCTGTTTGAGACCCTTCTTGGCACTAGGGAAACAGTGCCCAAAGTTGAAGGAATGTGCAAGTCGGCACCTCCCAGGCTGTGCTGAACTGTGCCCTGGGCAGTGGGAGGCTGCAGTGCCTGGTGAGTCCAACTGTTCCAGTAACAAGCTCCCTAGGCTAGGAGGCATCAGTGTCTGGGCCTGAAGGGCCAGAGGCCAAGGGGAGGCTGTGGGGGCCCACACAGAAGGCCTTCCAGGTTATCTCACCAGATCAGCTCATGTCTTGTTCAAGGTTACATGGAGAGTTAGTATCAGAGCTGTGACTAGACCCACCACTCTCTTCCCACACCAGGAAACTATCTCTTCCCTGACTGCCTTGTATTGAGCCATTTGATAAGCCTGCCCTCACACAAAGCTCTCATCTTTTCTAGATCTGGTTCAAAGCCCACTGCAGTCAACTTAGGCCCCTATTGGCCTCCAGGCCTGAGTCACTTGCCCTCCCCCCGCCCCATCACAGAGATTTTTCTGGAAATGTGCCGTTTGCTTGAGGACTCTCACCCCAAAGCGGCCTAAGAAGGCTGACCAGAGTGGCCTGCTCCTTCCCCAGACTGACCCTGTCTGCCTGCTGCTCCGAGCTTAGATAGTCCAGAAAGATACATTGAACCAGGACAGGAGCATGCCCGGATGTCAAGATAGAAGCTCACCCCTCAATTGCAATCACAAAATGGCTCAAGGTTCTGTCATTCAAGCTATATTTATTTGGAATTAAGTCAGGATCCTCTTTTAAAAGCAAATTTTTTTAGAAGGCTGGCCCAGGATGAGGGAGGGGTGCTGGGTACTCTAGAAGACAGGATGCCAGGAGACAGAAGAATGGGGTCTAGCTCACTCCTCTAAAGTGGTCCAACCAGAGACCACCGCCTGTTCTACACTTTCACACACACTCACCGTCATCCGACGACGACCCTGCCATGTCCCTAGCAGACCGGGTTCCTCTCTGCTGCCTTCCTCTGCCACCTCTGCCTCGGGGAGAGTGCCTGGCCTTGGAGTGGCCACGGACGAGGTCGGGGCATTAAACATTAACAGCGTCAGGTAATGTTTACCCGGTCACAAGAAAAGCCCTGGTGTGGACAGAGGGGCTCCCGCTGAGGGTGAGGAGGTACATGAGCAGACAGTGGCAGGCAGGAACTAGTTGGGTTTCCAAACCCTTCCCAAGGAAATTTCCAAAGAGGAGGGCCAGGACAGTCAGCGATGGTGTTCTTCCACCAGGTGGAAAAGCCACGCCTGGGACTGTGGCAATGGAAAGTGGGAGTTTTAAAATATATTCAGTGTATACTATAGCTAGGGGGGCAATGGCAGGGTCCCTCAGAGGCCCCAATCCTAACAGCTGTCCATCTCACCAACCACTGCGGAGTGCCACTTCCCACCTCACAGCCCACCCTGAGCCCACCAGGCACCCTCAGCACAGAGAGGGCAGAACTCTGGTCCAACACAGTCACACCTCAGGCCTCTGCTGCCCTGGGATGCCCTCTCTTCTTATCTTCTTCATCCACGAGATGCATCTAACAGCTCACACCTCAGTCAGAAAGGCATCCCTAACGATTTTCTCTTTTTCTGCTGCTCTAGGCACTTTCTACCTATTCTACAAACGGGAAGGGCTCACTCCATTCATCATGGCTCTCTAGTTGTTTGCATGCTGGGTTCCCATGTTATACCGAAAGTTCCTTTGAGAAGTGCCAAACCTTACCAAAGGGAGAATGCCCTGCTTTTATGATTTACAAAGCACTTTCCTGACTGTTATTTCCTTGCACTTTGTCTTATTTCTTCATTTTACAAATGAGGCATCCTCAGCACAGAGAGGGCAGAACTCTGGTCCAACTAAGGTCACACAGCCAGTGAAGGGTGAAGTGGAGACTGACAGCCAGGCCTTTGGCTGTAGGAGTCAAGTGCTTTCCCACACCTTTGAGGCCACCTTTCTGTTCCACTGTGATCTTCTCCTTCACTTCAGGGACCCCAGTGCTGGGAACTCCGTGGGTGCTCAGATTCCTGGCTGAGTTCTAGTCAATTGAATCGGCCTCCAAAAGAAGCTGTAGCCAGTAGTCTTAATAGTAGCCAGTAGTCTGTGTCCACCGAGGGGGGGGGGGTTAGTCATTCCAAAGGGAATGGATCCATCTGTTTATTCTCCTTTAAGTCCTCCTTGAGCTGTGGCAATGGCAGGGGTCAAAGTTTGAGTTTGTTTCCTGGCTCCTCCGCTTGCTAAGGATATAGCCTCTGTCAAGTGACTTAAACTCTGCGCCTTAGTCTCTTCATCTATAAAGTGGGACTACTCCCTACCTCATAGGTGGTAGTGAGGAGAAAGCGAGATAATGCACGTGAAGAGCATGGCATGGGGCCTGGTACACAGTGTCATATTGTTACTTCGATATTTATGTTGACTGGAGAAATAATAGCCATTATTAACCTTTCGTTGAATGTTAGCTATTGGGCACAGAAACATCAACCACCCTCCATTGAAAATGAGCCTTAAAGTAAGATGGAAAGAGAGAATGTCACAACCCTGAAGCCCAGGAGCCAAGACACCCATTCAACTCTCTTCTGCTTTCAGGGCCAAGTGATGAATACTCATGAAAATATTACAACAGAGCTAACATATAGTAGGGCATGACCACATGTCACACTCTGCATGAACTGTCCCACTGAATCTAGGTTTGCTCCATTTTACAGATAAAGAAACTGAGGCTGATCCTTTGCTCCCCGAAATGAGCCCTGAGTATAGTCAGGGCAGTGCCATGATCCCCACTGTGGACACCAGGAAGACTGAAGGCAAGGAGGTTGAGGAACCTGTCTGAAACACTCAGTTAGTGACCAAATCAGGGCTAGAAATCCAGTCCCCCAAGGCTGTGCTCCCGAAGCTACTTCCACTTTCCATACAAGGCACTGGTGCCCCTTATTATACATTCGTTTGGCATCTCAGTGTATTTTGTCTATATTTTTAGGTCATCCTGGATTCTTTCTGGAATCATAAGAGATATAAAAATAGGCGGAAAGATAGATGGACAGATGATAGATGGATGATAGATGATAGATAGATAGATGATAGATAGATAGATAGATAGATAGATAGATAGATAGATAGATAGATATAGATGATAGATGATAATAGACAAAAAGAGGAATAAGGAAAGCAAGTTGATGGCTGCATTTCTGAGCTCTATGTGCAAGGCACTGTTCTAAGCACTTTACAAAAATTAACTCATTTAATCCTCACAACTTTATGAGGTAAGCAAGGCATTATTATCATCCTCATGTTATAGATGAAGAAGCTGAGGCACAAAGAATTTAAATACCTTGCCAGTAGTCAGGCAGCTAGGAAGTAGAGAAACCAATATTTGAAACCAGCAGTCTGGCTTCAGAGTTCCTGCAGATGGACAGAGTGATAGACAAAACGGGAGGCTATTGGAAAAGTTGTCCTGCTAGCTCTTGCAGCTCAAGAGATTCTTGGAGCATGGATCACAGAGTTCCCAGGACTGTATTGAAATGTCCTTGTTTAGAAATCCTGCTTCTCCTCCTTTCTGCTTTTCTTGTACTTCTGGGAGCTGGTAAATACACTTGAAAGTGATAGGGGTGGACACCTGTGTTAGAGTCTAAGAAGGTGGTAAGATGGGGTTCAGGGGACTCACCCAAGTACCACCTGTCCATGGCAGGAGTTGCTGGTTGTGTCTTCAGTGGACGAGAGTGGTGAAGTGCTGGTTGCCGATGGCCTGAATGGAAACAGTGGCACTTCCTCCCTCCACACTTCAGCCAAGTTCATGGGCTGGAAGAGACAGGGCAGGGAGGAGGGGCTGGCAAACCTTCACCTTGTGCCTGTCTGCCTTGGCAGGCTGAGGCCAGGGATCATGGGGATGGGCACCTGAGGAAAGGGGAGTATGTGAACTGTTGCAAAGCAAACGGCAGTGCCCACACTGGCCCCTGTACCCCCAGGGGAGAGGTGCCAATCCAGTGCCTTCCAGGCAGCCCAGCATGCCTGCAAAGGTCCCTCCGGTACTCAGAAAGGCACTGGCTGAGGTTGGAGCCAGCAGAATTATAGCCCCTGCTCTCTTCCTGGCCCCCAGTCTGATGGTAGCTGAGGGAGACACTCAGGACATTTATGGGTCTCCCTGAGTCTTTACTGCATCTCATTCTTCCAGCCTAGTTGGGCCTTTGCCCTGCTATATCCTGTCCCAGGACCCTGTTCTATAGCTAGGAGTCAGTCCCCTGAAACTGGACGCCCCTTGAAAGTTTCCTTAGGCGGAGCAGGAATGATTTTCAGGTCATGGCCTTGGAGCCTAAGGTACCAGCTGCAGCCTCCTGTGTCATTCTCATATAGGTCAGAGATGGGGAGCAGCTGAGGGGTGGCGTGGGCCTGCTCTCATGGTAGCCCGCCTTTCCTCAGCTGTGATATCAGACCTGCCAGCCACACCGCAGCAGCCCAACAGGAGACACCAGCAAGCTAATGAGGCCTCTGAGGACTATTGGTTGGTGCCAGAGGGGAATGGCCAGAAGATAGCACTTCTGGGTGCAGGGCAACGCAGAAGGCCTATCTCCCGGCTGGAGTGGCAGAACAGCCCCTACACTGTCTCAACCTTGTCTATGTTCCCTGGCCACTTAGGCCTCTGACAGACCAGAGCAAGGCTGTGACAAGCATCTCTGTGTGGCTCACTTGGGACCACATGATCTCCTTCAGGTTCCTTGTGGGCCGCCCTGCTTGGCCACCCCAGCACAGAAACTGAAAAGCAGGGTCTGGAAGGTGCTGGTTCTGGCCACAGCCTTTGACCATGGTGACATCTCATCTCTCTGTCCCTCCTCAGCTACACTTCCTGTCCTGAAGGGATGACTAATGGTGCTACAGAGAGCAGCCTCTGGACTAGAAATTGCTGTGGAACTAGAGAACGGCTGGGCCTGGAGGGGCTTTATCTGGCTGGGCCGAGATCTGTCCTGGGGGCTCAGATCAGGCAGCCCTGACTCCAGGCTCCTTGGGGCCTTCCCTACCACCCTGCAAGACAGGGGCAAACTTGTCCAGGGGCCAAGCGGCTTTTGTAGCAAGACCTTGTGACATGTTCCCAACCTGCACACTCCTATGGCCCAAAGCTGCTGAGGAGAAATTCCCCAAGCTGGGCACTTTGATCGGTTCACAAATCTTGGAGTTAGATGAGACTTTAGAGGTTACCTGGTCCAAACTCATTGGTGGTCCAGAAAAGTGGGTGTCTCAGCCAGAACCCAGCCCCCGCTGCCCCATATATATATACACACTCTATGTTCCCTGCCAGACCTTAACACTGGGAAAGAAGGAGGCTCAGTCCCCAGTGGATATCTGTGTCATAGCCTGACTAACTGGAAAGGGCCTCCAAGGTCATCCCACCCAACCCCCTCACTTTACAAAGGGTTGACTTTCCTGCTCGAATCCTCTGAGAGTTCAGAGTATAAGCCAAAGTCCTTTCCATGTCCTATAAAGACCCATCTTAATCTGGCCCCAACGACGTCTCTGACATTGTCTCCAACTTCCCTGCCCTTTCTATGCATCCCAGCCATGCTGGTCTCTTTGGTGGTCCCCTAAGCCCGAAGGCACACTCTGTCCCAGAACCTTCGCATTGGCTGTTCCTTCTTCCTGAATACTCTTCCTTCAGAAGCTTCCTGACTGTCTTGTTCAGATCTTTCTCAAATACCGATGCAGAAGGCCCTCCTGGCGTCCCAGTCTGTAATATTCACACCCACTCTATGCAATGTTTCAAATCCCTCCTTAGCTTTATTATTTTTTTCAGTAGCTTTTATTATATCTGATAAGTTATACGTTTCCTTTATCTTATTTCTTGACTCTCTTTCCACTAAAATTTAAGCTCTAGGAGAACAAAGATTTTTGTTTGTTGGATTTATTCCTAGATTCTCGGTGCCTAGAATGAGGCCAGGCGCTGGGTGGACCTCCCATTTTGTTAAATGAATAAGTCCCAGAGGTGAAATAATTCTATCAGTGATACAGGAAGGCCCAGAACTTGCTTAATAAACCTCTTCCCATGGAATCATCTGCCCCATGACAGGAAGCAAGATCTCATTTGCCTCC